GACTGAATATTCTGTCAAATTACTTTTCGATAACCAATTATTCATCTGTTGAATATTAAATCAATTGAATAAATTCTTTGAAAATCTTTTTTTCTATGAATATATTATAAGTCTTTACTAAGCAATCAAATTTGTTAACTTTTTTTTTTTTTTAAAAACTTTCAGTGTACTGTTTCTTTTCTATTAATAGAAAATGGCGAGCTAAATATATAAATAATGCATCACCAGATTCATTACCAATTGAAATTAATACATGTAAGTTAATCTTATTTTTCTTGTTAATTAAACAAAAATAGTTTTGTTTATTTTTTTATATTAGCTATTTTCGGTTTTAGCAATCATATGTATGGTGATCAATATGCATTTGAAAAGACTCGTTATGGTTGTCAATTACTTAAAACATTCCTTATTGATTTAACAAATAATTATACAAAACCGATTACAGATGAAAAAGAATTAATTCATCGAGCATTTAGTTTATTAAATGATAATAAAGTGTAGGTTTTTCATTATAAATATGAAATGACATGTGTTGTTCAGGTTAAATTAAAAGTCTCATTGGTAAACTAACAAATCTAAAATATGAGCTGTTTATGATGTGTACAAACTGAGATATCCGAATTTTTAGGTTTTTATAGTGAATATTATGTGCAAATAATTCAAAATTTTCAGCAAGATATTTTTGTTTTTGAATAATATTTGAATAGAATTTATCTAGTTACATAAAAAAAAAAAGAAATCCTATATAAGTCAGAATTTCGAGTCTATTGCCACTTATATTTAAAGCTAATAGTATTGCAGACTTATTTCTTAAAATGGTTTTTTTTGTATTTGAAACATACCTATGTAACTATGATGGAATACAAAACAAAAAAATAATGTCTTCCGAAAATTTGAATTGTTAACACATAATACACAATGCAAATGCCTCAATATTCAAATATCTCAATCCGTACATCTCATAATCAGTTCATATTTTACATTTATTAATTTATTAGTGAGACTTTTAATTTAACTCGAATATGTTCGATGCTCTCGGTATTACACTATACTTCCTTCGATTGTAAAAAGAAAATGATTTTCTTTTTTTTTTTATTGAGTTTAGTTTTCCTGATGATTCTAATATTGCTGCTGTTTATTCACATTATTCAATATCGAATCGTAATCAAATATCATCGATTAATGTATGCACAACAGATGATTCACCAACTTATGGAACAAGGTTTAAAAAAGCAAAGTTATTTTTCTTTTTTTTCCTCTTTCATATATTATTTATTTATAGAACATCAACTGTAATTCTTATTCGTCATAATCAAACAGGTCTTTTTATTGAAAAAACTCTCACTAATCCATTAATTAATCCATTACAATGGACAGAAAATACATGGCATTTTAAATTAAATGATATAAATGAACCTCCTATTTTAATAAATTAATAGGAGAAAAAAGAAATCAGTAGAAAATCTTTACAAGGTTAAAAGCGAAAGAGAGAAAAATATACAAGATGTGTTTGTTCTTATGTATATATAAGATAATTGATTATGATCTTTTTCTTAGTAAAGATTACGCGAATAGAAACAAGATAGGGAGAGAGAGAGGAAAAAAAGAAGGAAACGACAGTTGTATCATTCATTGTTCGCTTATATTTATGCAAGGTTAGTTATCTTATTCTTAAGAATTGAGCTTATGTCATCAACTAATAATACATATCATCATCTATTCGTTCAAACACAACTAAAAAGTATATTAAAAAAATCACCATCACCAAGATTTCTTGATTCATTAAATAATTTCGATGATAATCACTATTCTAATATTATTCTATCATCAACTTACGACACAGTCAAAAGTGTTATTGACGAGAGTGTAACCAATGATAATATATGTATGTTTAATAATAATCAATCTGTTGTGGATAATTCAAAGTTATCTTCTATTGAAACACCATTAATGAACTCGTCAATAGAATCAAATGAAAATTTATGTCAATATAAAATTGATACTCAATTGATAGGAACTATTCCACCTGATGATGCAATATCATCATCACCACATACATCTGATGATGAACAACAGCAACAACAACAACAACGACAACGTATTAGAACTAAATCAAAGAAAAATGATTTTAGACCATTTGTCATCAATCGTACAGTATCTTCATCGGCATCGTCATCTAGTGATAATGATGATGCAAGGAAAGCAAAACGATCTATGGAACAATCTAAAACGACGTCAATACATTCTGACAAATATCGACAAACTGATATGCAACTTGATGAATTCATGCGGAAGTATCAACAACAAGGAGGAATTCATATACCAATAATTAAAGAAAATCGTAATAAAGAACAAATGACATCAAAAGATCTAATAAATAATAATGAAAATAACGGTAATCAGTAAGTATAATTAGAAGATTTGAAGAAATTTTTTCTTTCTTTTAATTCTCTTTATTTAAGTTTTTCTTTAACGGAACAACAAAATTCTTATGTTGATAAGAGATTAATAAATGATGATACAATGAGTTTATTAGATTCAATTAATATAATAACTCTATCAAGAGAAATTGATTCACCATTACAATTATTGTTTAATGTTGTTCGTACAAATCAATATGATCGTCGAACAAAAATCGATCATATTCGTCAATATATTGAAGAACAAATTGGTATAACAGCTTTTTTAACAATATATAAATTACTTAAATCATCACATATACCAATTGATATACAACAAAAACCATTTTGTTATTATGCAAATTTTATTCCTCATTTATGTTGTTTAATTATGCTTGAAAGTGAACAACAAAAAAATCGTTTATAACATAAGAGAAATTTTTTTTGTTAAGAGTAATAAATTAAATATAAAATAAATTCTTTAATCATATAAGGTTATTATTATGTTAAATAGAAATATGATTTTTTTGATTTTTTTTTGCTTATGAAAATAATAATAATAATAATCAGAATATTTTATTTTTGTTTTTTATTTTTATTTCGTTTGATAATCATATTTGAATATTGATTCGTTCTTATTCATATAAACTTTTGTAATAATCAGATATGAAATATGAAGATATATTTGAATAACAATAATAACAATAAGTAGGTAATGGTGTATAATTATATGTTGTTGTTGTTGGATAAAAATAAATTTGATTTTTTATTTTTGATGTTGATTCATTAGATTGAAATGATTGATATTGAAATTCTTTTATTTTATGTTGATGTTTTCGATAATGATGTCGTTTACGTTTAAATCTTGATGAATTATATTGTTTATGATAATGATAATGAAATAAATCATCGTCACCAAGTAATTCACCAATAGTTGGATTTAAATTTTTTTTTTCAATTAAATTTAGTTGATTTTTTTTAATATTGATTTGTTTTGATATTAAAAATTTTTTATTATATGGATATTTTTTATATAAAAATTTTAAACAAGATGGTAAACTTTTACTTGTATGTAATTGTACAATTTCATTTGATTTTGATAAAAATCGAACATTCGGAAGAGATTTATAAGCTTTACATTTATTAGATATATTTTTTTCCATGAATAAATATTTTATTGTTAATACTATTCTGATGATATCTGTTGATAAATTATTATTTAATGACTATCCTATCAATAGTTAGCTAAGAAAAGAATGTTGGATTATATTCATTGTAAATAACATTTTTAATGATTATTGATTATTAAATTGAAAGAATTTAATAGTAATCAAGTTATTGTTTGTTGCTAATAATGCATAGTAACAAGTATAAGTCAATGAGAAAGAAAAAAAAAATACGCGCGTGATATGTATGAGATTTGATAATGTGAAATATTCAGAGTCATTTAAGAATATAAACGAATGTTTCTTATTTCAATTATTGAATTAAAATTTCTCAATGTAATCAATTGAGTCACTCGAAATAAGGCGCCAAATAGATATTGCTCTATATTTCTTCCATAAAAGCTTTAAATATGGCTATATTTTGTCGACAACATACAAAGCCAATATCAAATGAACGAGCATTTTGTCAAGCATTACTCAATAATGAGAATCCTATTTGGGTCAGTATATAATCTCGAATTATATTTCTTATTTGAAAATTTTCAAAGGATGATAACGATATGGAAAAAATACATAAACGAGGTTTTCGTTTACCTCCTGACAATTTTGTATATGGTATCAAACATCCAAAACAAAATGGTATTACTGGTGTAGCTGCAGGCAAATATTTGATCGATTTTTGATTAATTTCTAATTAACATTTTTCTATTAGCTCTACAATACGATAATACACCGATGAACACATCGAAATCAATTATTGTTCCTAATTTTATTGAAATAAACAAAACTACTGTTCAATTAGGTCTTACTAAAGTACAAGATATACATCAATATCGGTAGATGAGATTTCTTTTCATAATAGTTCTAAAAATTCATCATACCGATTTAATTTCGATTTTTTTTCCCGTAATAGAAACTACCATAAAGAATTCAAATAGTGATTTGGATAGAAGAAATTGTTGTCAACAAGAATTTGAAGACAATAAAATTTTCATAGTATTCTCGAAATCCAGAATCTCTTGGACACTCAAAATCTAGTTTTTCAGTACACAGAATCCGTAAATAAAAATTTATTTTAACTACGCAAAGCAATAGAACATTTTGTGACTGAGTCACATAAAATTTTAAGAGAAGCTCAAAAGTTCTTTTTATCTGGTTTTCCCTTACGAAGTGACGAAAAAAAAACTATTTCTGGGAATTTCCTAATATCGATGTAGTTTCGTAAAATAGTGTCGTGAAGAGCTCGGAGACATTTCATTTTCTAAAGAATTAGTTGCTCTATCGTCTTGTATAATCAAAAGAAGCTCTTATATTCGAGTTTTATGTTCACAGAAACCAGATATTAGGTTTTCTGCAGATTCTAGATTTTGGGAATATTGTGAAGATGTTATTTTCGTCAAGTCCTTGTTGAAAACAATTTCCTCTATTCAAATCACTATTTGGATTGTTTATGCGAGTTAGAGTTCTCCAGGATCGGGTGAGGGTAGTGAAAAAAAATGTTTAGGATAGAATTAGAGTGTTTTTCATATTGCTAATAGGGTTTTAAGCAAGCAACTTCGAAGACACTTCCTAACATCTTTCTGGTTTAGAAGAAGTCGGTAGTTATTGTTAAAACGAAATTCAGTTTTAGTAAGGAAGAATCAGTATTGGACTAGTGAGACAAGTAGTCATTGAACTATCTACAACTTAGTATATTGGAAAAAAGGCTATAGAAAGCTCCAACACGTTCAATTACAAGTGAACATATTTTCAATACAAGCGAAAGAGTTTTTTGGAAGAGAAAGAAGACAGAATTGAGTGGTGACATTGTTAATGACATTTTATTCTTACGAAACTTTTGAAATATGTGTTAATTTTATATTTGATTATTGTTGGAAATCAATAAAATATGCTGAAACATAATGAAGAAAAATCATATTAACATATGCCAAAACATAGAAATCTTAGTGTACAATACAGTATGAAAAAGTCTCACCCTGTAGGACTCTGATGCAAGTTACCATGAAGGAAAAACATTGATGTATAATCTGTATGATTAATTTTAGGAATCATTGTATATGCATGAAAAATTATTTTGTTTTTCATATTAGGAAAACAATGAATAATCATCTAGTAAATATAAATCCTTGTTATAGTACCGATATTAAAAAAAAATCAATACCAGATATGATTCATGGACGAATTACAGGGTATGTTTATATACACGATGGCCAAAAAGTAACAGGACATAAAAGGTATCCTATAATTACTGATGATAAATTGTTAATGACATTTTTCATACTTTTTATTGATGTAGAAAAGTGAAACTTTCAGTAATAAAAGGTCTGATTAGATATAAATTTGATAAAAATTTCAGCTCTCTACATTAATAAAAAGTATGAAAAATACCATTAACAATTTATCATCAGTTATTATAGGACACCCTTTATGTCCTGTTACTTTTGGGTCACCCTGTATATATATATATATATATCTTCACTATCTAGATTTATAAATGTTTAATTTAAATATTTAATTAGTGAACGACAATCAATTCGTGATTTAATTGAAAATAAATATCTACATGAATGGCTTCATAAAGCTGCAATACGTCGTTGTAAAAAAATTTTAAATAATAACACACCTGTGAGTAAAATAAAATTTTGACCAAAATCTTTTCGAATCTTTTTTTTTTGCTTTACTGATTAGAAAATACCGAAAGCTTTTTTATTGAAAACAAATTCAAAATATAATAATAAACAATAATTTATTTGCCAAACAAATATCAACAAAAACAAAAAGGAATTTAGTTTGAGATAATTTTCATTTGATTGTTGAGTCATTTTTCTATTGACGAAGATTCATTAGATTATATTTTTATATTCGAGGCTGATTTATTCGATAATTGATTAACAAATGATTTTTTAATGCCTCCGATTTATTTGAGGAATTTATTAATAGATATGATCTAAATAAAATAGAAGAATTTATGATTATAGATCAGTTTGAAAAAAAAATTCAAAACAGTCATTTACTGTTAACTAATACGAGGTATTGTGTGTTGAACATGATTTGAAAATTTGTTTAACTTTGGATTATTACGAAAACCAATATAATCTTTAAAAAAAAGTTAAATAAAATTAAAATTAATAAAAAAAACAAAAATTTATCAATAAACTTACCATCACGAATATCAAGATTTGTAAATGAATGCCAAAGAGTTTTAAGTTTAGAATTAATTGTTTCAGAAGAAAATAATTGTTGAAGATTTGTTTTGTTTTCTTGTTCTTGTTCTTGTTCTTGTTCTTGTTCATTTTCAAGCATTTGATATTTAGTTAATGTTGTACAAAAAGTATCAATAGGATAATTTTCAAACGTATGAATCATTGTTCTTAAATTTTCAATTTCTTTATAAAATATTGATGAACCAAATAACCAAGAAGCAATTGTCATTATTTCATTTTGATCATTCATCCATATTAAACGAGGTGTTTTATTACTATTTAACCATAGACTAAATAATTCATTTTAAAAAATTTAATAAAATATAAAAAATTTAATAAAATATAAAATATTTTTCACAAAAAAAAGACGTCTTACGCTGTTAATATTAAATGAAGATTTAAAGTTCCGTGAGAATATTCAATACCATTATTATTGTTATTTGATAGTAAACGAATAACAGGTGTAGTATGATTCATATTTACGAATTTTGTATATGTACTCTCAGCATTATTAACTTGTTGTATTAAATGATTCCAACTAACTGGTGATAATTTAGCTGTGGAAGGTTTCATAATAAGACCTTTTTTTAATGGTCGTAACGGGGTACCTGTAGATTGTTGTACTATTTCTAAATGATCCTCATCAGTAATAACACAATTAACAGATAATTTTCGAACTCTCTCAGAAATTCCAATATCCGTTAAATATTTTGGATCATATGGACAATAAATTAAACCAGCTTGAAGACATGCTAATAATAATAAAACTCGTTCTTTAGCATTATTGGGTAAAATAACAAGTACCTATATAGACACAATATATTTCTATATATATATATATAAATGTAAAATTAATAACATACAGTTTGACCTGGTGTTAAATTATATTCTCTATTAGTGAACGTATTAGCCAAGCGACATGATTGTTTATGTATATCATCAAATGTTAATTTTTGACTTTCATCACCTTCACTTTCACACATCCATAATGCTTCTCTTTTTGGTTGTTCAACACCCCAGCGTTGCAGAACATCATTAATAAGATTGTGGGAAAGTGCATAAGTATCAAGCAAATGATTTAGTTGTGTTTGTCTTTCATTGCACGATGATGATCGTACAACGTTAAATAATTTATCAACTACTGGTTTTGTTGATAACCGTCGAATTGATTTTATCGTCATTGTAACGCCGATCAAAAATGAAAAACGCATCGAGTATAGCTTGATGAAAAAAAAAACGAAATGATTTAGAACAGAAGTAATAGGGAACAAAAGTAGATGTGTTTCTTACTTACATATACAGTATGACAACGTAATCATGTAGGAAGTAACAGAAAAGACAATTATTTGTCACATTTACATGTTTTTTTTCTTCCCTTTTATTTTAATGTTGTCATACCTGATTCATATGTATGATGCAATATGAAATAGCTTTGTTTTGCTATAAATACCTTATTGGGGACGTCCCACCGTGAAAAAAATTTTTTTTTTCTGTCATTCAGTCTTAATGATATTTTTAGATTTGTATCTCAAGTTAAATATAGTGCAATAGAGTTTCAGCTAGATACATTTAATCCATGAAGAGTTAACTTAAGATTATGAGTGTCAAAATATAGATGTCTGTACGTACTTGATTTCTTCAATATTTCAAATACGAGAAAGTTCGGATTGGTTTTAAAATGTAGTGAAGACGTAGTGGTGCAACTTAATAGAGATTGATTGTTCTTACTTTGTTTTTCTCGAAAATTCGTCTGATTAAATACCGCAAAATCATGCGGTATAGATCCAAAACGATTAGTGTTTAGTAAAGATTAAAAGGAAAATCAAAAAAGCTCGACTCTTTTAAGTTGTAGAGCTGATTTTCGCCTACGTTTTGGCAACATTTTCAGACTTCTACCGTTTAATTCTTTACCCTGAATTGTCAACTGGAATTACTATTTTTAGAAACATGACAGAAAATGTAGGACACGTGATATCAACGAACTCCTTACACACTGTATGTAGAGAATTCTTTCACGACTTACAAAAGAGACGAATATGAGATTATTAAAAAAAGAATCTCGTATTTTTAAATTGTTATTTTGTTTTATTACCTACGAGAAACACTTATATTGATGATGTGCAGTGCAATAAATATTGATGAACGTTGCTACTATTGAATAAAATACGTTTAAAAATTTTCACACGAATTAGTTGAACAAGAGTTTGTATGATATAGAATGGCAACTGGATTTGTCATTAGAGGATAATAATATAAAGAAAAGATTCAGAAATTCTCGTCTAAAGGCAATAGTTAGTAATATTTACGCTTAGATAAGTAAATAGATTGCTGTTATTTATAAATACAAGCATTGTTTGTTCTTATACCAATGTCTAGTATGGATATGTGCGGAGGTGTCACAGTCGAATCAGAAAACAGTCAAGCCGTACCTCTCATCCACACCCTAGTTTTTTTTTACCATCTGTTCGTATGCGAAGTTGAAGAAGAATAAATCACTAAATATGTCCTTTACTTGATGATATAATTACTTCGAGGGAAATGTACTCTACGTACATAGAAAATTGTTCCAGTAGCTCATGTGATGTAGAGAAAAGAAGAAAATCTTTTTGGGCTTCTTTTTTTCGCATTGTCGCATGACAAAGATGTATTGTATTTTTGTGGAATCAACAAGCATCTCGCAAAAGATTAAAAAACCACTTTCATGTCATTACTCTCCAATAGCAATTCGAGTTGCCTAATTACTGTACATACAGAGAAACTCATGTGATCGATCTGCCGATATTATTGACCTACTAAAGAGCAAAGTGCTCTGTTTCAATAGTTGCTTTATTGTGGACTCTTTTAGAACTATTATCAGAGGTCAATGGTTAAAATAGTGCAGAAACCTGGAATGTACGAAAGCATAAAAATAAAAGACTGTTGTATTTCCTTGTTATATTTAGTGATGTATGATACTCATGTTCATCACTATCAAAAATAAATAGAGAAGTTTGAAAAATTTTTAACATTATTTTCTTCTGTATGAGACTTTCGAAAAACCTATATAATATGCTTAGATCTCACCATCAAAAATCAATAAACTATAATGTATTGCAAAGTAGACAATTTGCTTTATCAAATAAGTTATCAAGCACAAAATCGGATTTTTTTCTGAAGTTCTTCAAAAAAAAACTAATTTTTGTCATGTCAATCATTTTATTGTAAAAAAAATAATTTTTTTTTTCTTTTTTTGTTATTCTTGATTTCACACTAACATCTGTTCAAAATATAAATAGCTACATAACTACAACAATTATAATTGCACAAAAAAACAAAATGAAAGAAAAAAATAAATAAAGCAAAATAAAAAATTTAAAGTTTATATATCATCAAGTAAAATATATTTAATTAATTGTTTATTCTTCACCGGAAGTGTTTCAATAGATTGTCGAAAGTGACTACCTGAAATTTGAAAACGTATTTTTAAACGACATAAACTTTTTAATGAACGTATTCGTTGTTGAAATAATGTTATTGGTGGTGTATAACCAGCTTCAATTAATAAACGAGCTAAACGCATATGTTTATTTATAATTAACCATTGAAATAAATTTTTATCATTTATATTAAATGATATGGCACCATAACGTATAAGATTATTTATTATTGAAATATTATATTTAACAAAATCAAATGCTGTTAAATGATATTGATTATAAATGCGTACATTTGCACCGGCTTGTTCAAGTAATAAATGTACTATATCATCATAAGAATGAAGTACAGCTAACATTAAAGCTGTTGTACCATGACGATCTTGTATATCTACATTTGCACCTATTTTAAATAAATAAATAGATTAGTATTGAATAGAAATTTTTTCTTTTTTATTTTTACCATGTTGAAGAAGAAATTGAACAATATCAAAACGATTTGATTTTGCTAATACAGCATAATGAAGTGGTGTTTTACAATCAGGTAAATGTTGTTTATTAATGTTAGCATGAAAATAATTTATTAATATATCAACTATTTCATATGAACCAAAATGACAAGCAGCAGCTAGAATAATGAATAGATAAAAAAGTGTTTACTTGAATTAATTATACCTAATGGTGTTAAAGGCTGATTAAAATCATCTCGATATGAACAAAAAAAAAGACTTTGATTTATTGTTGTACGATATCGATTTGATTCAAGAATACATCGAACTGTTGTAAGATCATGTCGAATAATAGCAATTATTAATCGATCATCAATATTATAGAGTGTAAGCAAGCGATGATCAGCAGGTAGCATAAAGACTTTTTTTAATTATATTTTACAAAAAAACAATAAATAAATAAATTTTTTTACTATTTCAAATTAATCATATATATTTCATTATGTTCTGTTTTGATAGTCAACAAAAAGCAAAATTTTGAATCAAAAGCAACAAGTTATCTTTAGATAGACGGTGCGAACCAATCAAATACAAAGTCCATGTTTTATAACATTCCAAATACAAGCACTCGTCTTTCTTTTTTCACATGATTGCAACATCCGAAGACATCTAGTAATGACGTACAAAATTGTTTCTTAATTATTATCATTCGTTGATATTTTTTTCTTTCTTCTACATAATATTTTCTTGTTATTTGTTATTATAATGTTTACAGTAGCGGATGTAGAAAGAAGCAATAGGGATAATTGCCCTTGGTTTTCGAGCTATTTTTTTTCAGTAGAAAAACATGCAAAAATAAACAGAGACGCTCTTTGATTTGATTTAAAAACACATTTTATACCTATAATCACTCTCATTCATCAAAATTCTAAGTTCGTCACTAAATATTTAAGAAGTAATGTAGTGAGCAAAGAAATAAAAATCAAAATAGTCTATTAGTGATTTAAGAAAATTAAACAATTTAATTTGAAATTGATTAATTTAATCAGTTGAAATCATGAATTGAATTTATGAAATAAATTTTTAAAGATTAAATAGTTAGATAGCATGTATTCACTTGAAAAAACAAAAACAAAATTCAGAATTTATAAGAGTAGATTTAAATCAAATTGAATTTCTCATTTTTGTTTTTCATTGAATCGTTGTCCAACTTTTTTGATTTTAGTCTGTATACTAAATCACATAATGAAAACTATGTGAACCCGATGTAGTCTTATAGCAGTTGCTCTTTTAAGAACGTAATCAATTTAAATGTTGAATTTAGATAGATCAATTGAAGAATTAATATAATTTCGAAAACATTGTATATTACAGCATGTTCACCACATTCACATTCACACTTTTTGATGATTGACAAGTATTAAAAAAAAAACTAACTTATCAAATCAATCATAAAGAATTTATTTAGATGACAGTAGCTATTCTTCTAATTATGAGGTACAAAAAATATTATTATTGTTATTGAAAAAACAAAAGGCAAATATGTATACGACGGCTACATTAGCGAGTTTGACAGATTGGATAATACTTGAGTAGCAAGCATCTAGGTATTTCGAACAAATGATTGTACAGTTCAATTACTGAAAACATCAGGACACAATTAATGCAATTTGATTTTTCAGCATATCGTCAAGATGATGAAAGAAAGAAAAAGAGATATATAAAATATAATCATAGAATTTCATGAAAATAAATTAGGTTTCAAAGGATATCTATTGAAAACTCTTTAGATATAACATTCGAAGTGAATGATAATCTATAGATTATGAATTCAAGCTTAGTTTTAGATTAAATTTGGTTCAATTCAGACAACCTATTTGATCCATAGTTAACTTTCAATAATAAAAATCTCGAAATATTTTCTATTTTTTTTAGTATTTTCTATATGAAAGTAATACTTATTAGTTTTTAGCAAAGACTAAAAAATCTGATTGATTGCTTTCATATCATCACAGTCAGTGGCGGATCTAGAATTTTAGAAGGGAAGGGCGATTTTCGAAAGATGCGACGGTTACAGGCAAAAATCACTTTTTGAGACTTATGTGAGGTAGTAAAGATCAGTTGTTCGTACGTTTTTGCTGGGAAAAAACAAAAAAATCTCTGGAAGGGGGAGGCGATCGCCTTATCGCCACCCCCTTAAATCCGCCACTGATCACAGTGACTGGAACAAAAAAATAAAATAAAGAAACGACAAAGAAAAAATGAACGAGCGAGTATAACCCATGAAAAACTTTGCTTTTCTGAGCAATCAATCTAAGTATGAAAAGATATAATGGAATATCTTTGCCGTAGGAACAAAAGAACTAACTTTTTTTTTATTATCATTTAGACTAAATACAATCATGAATAATATTAGATTGTAACAACATTATTCATTATCAATTTATTTATTTATTTAGTTTCTTCTTCTTGATCGATCATTATTATTACTATTATCTTATACGAGTCGTCGAGTAGTTCTTAGTTTTTTCAGAATTCATATTCACATAAACAATACTTCATATAGTCATATTGTCTTTGTATACATGACTTTCTTGTCTTGTCATAAATACACTCATCTTCTTCTTCCAATCAATTATTATCGTATTATTAGTATGTCAAAACATATGCAAGTCGTGATAAGTAGGTCGAGCATACGAAGAATTGATTTGTTCGCTTCTCTCTTCATATGCTAATGACACTAATCGATAAGATACATCAAAAAAGTATAGATGCCAGAATGTTGCAGATGTGGAGAAATGTCCTTATACGGAATAGGACATGTTGTTCTCATAAACAGCAACATGGAATTTGTACCGAGCAAAGATATCCTTCGGTTGTGTTATTTTTATCGATACCATATTTGTCCTGTTCGATGTATAAAGACTATGATAGCATATATTACGGATGAGTCAAACATGCATATTGATCTTTAGACTTTTTTTTCTAGTATCTTGTTCCACACTAATGAGAAAAATGATCCTTGTTAAAATACAAAAAACGAATTGTATTTTTTACCAAAACTCTTTTGTATGTAATTCATATTCATATAAAATAGTGTTTGTGGACAATGACTGATAAGAAATTGTACATCGATCGATGAAATCAATAAATTGGTGTTGTAAAGATTCAGTATTTATGATGTTCATAAAAGAAAAAAATAACAAAGATTTCTTTCTACATTACCAAGAAGTTCAACAAAATTGAATAGGACCCAGTATTTTCATATACAAATTTCTCTGATTTTCAAGAAAAAAAAATGTTATTCTATGTAATAATCAAATTTAATTTCACACTTTTATATCACAGATGGATGTTGACGTTAGACTTTTTGTTGAAACCAATGTCTTCGACCTACATCTTCTCTAACATTTAATTTAAGAACATTCTTTTAACACAATCAAAAAGTTTTCATCGATGGACAGAGTAATAATTTGATATACTTGTCTTCAAAATAAAACATCTATTATTCTACCATAATCGACAATAAACGATTTTTGAATCGTAAATTGTTTTATTGTCACAAACATAAAAGATTTCGTTTAAGATTTGTTTACATTTCAACAATGTTCATGAACCAAGCAATAGAAATTCCCCAAGTTGTCGATAGTTTATCAACAGAGTTATAATAACTTCTTGAGGAATCATGAATCGATTGTTAAATTCGCTGACAGTGACACCATTAACGTGATAGTCAAAGTGATGCATTTTCTGGAATAGTTTTAATAACCACAAATTCTTCTTCACACAATGCTGCATTGGTTCGGGTGTAAGAGTAAAACATAACGTGAATATTGTGTTGTTGGTTTTTTCATTTCGACAATCTTGGAACTGTCGGTGGCGTTGACAGAGAATTCCTATTTCTCAATTTTTAGACACCTCAAAATTTTCGACTACAATAAAAGCAAGAAACTATTTACAAATAAATGAAAATTGTATTTGTTGTCGACGAAAATGACTGATTGGTTCCTTAGATGATTTGATAATTTAGTCAAGATTAGATAATCATTCATATTATGAAAGCCAAACGAATTGAGAGTCGATTCTCAATCACATTCAAATATACTAAAGTTTTTAATACCATTGGCAGTTAAGAGAGAAAAGTAAATTCTACAATTAAATATTACGCTTTGAGCTGACTTTTCTTGTTCTTGTCAGTCAATTGTTGAATTCAAAATGATAAAAACAAACATGAACACTACTGCAAATCAATTACACGATCTGATGATTAACATGTATACAAATATGTAGAAGAGAATAAAATTTTGTGGGTTGATCGTGGATCCACTATCATCTAAAACAAAATATCAGACCAATCAATTCCATTTTATCGGAATTGATTTAGGACTGAAGCTAAAAATACAAACGATTTTATCAATTCATATTCATATTATCTTATTTTTACTTTTACTATTATCAATTGTTATATAATATTTACAAGATAAAATGATATCATTGTTACGCATGATACTAATTTTTTTCGTATAATTGTTTTTGATTCATTAGACTTTTTACAACACACGAAAATGATAAGCATGATTGATAGGCAATGAAATATTGCGTGAAATTGAAAAATTGGTTCAATATGCAATTTCGTCAAAAAGTGAAGTGTAATTGAGACTCAACATTTCAATATACTGAAGTTAATACAGACAATTAGACTTTCTATCCAAGTATCAAACCTATGCACATAATCTTGATACAATGTATTTAGTCAGGGATTAAATTCCACTGTTCATCAAAATTACAAAAATCCATATGTGACAGAAGAATCAATATTCCATGAGTTCAAATAAATTTTATTTTATCTGTATTTACTTTAACAACAAATAAATACCTATATAACTACCGATGACATATTTCAGACAAAAATTCCGGTTTCAACCATCGATCGCATGTAACAATATGAAATCATAGTTCGACAATATATATTTCCATGAATATGAAAAGAATCTCGCTTTTAGTTTAAATCCAAACGAAAGTTTTTAAAATAAATAACAGATTTTTCGGAGAGAAATATAAAACTTGAAATTTCATGTTTTCATGAATTCACCGAACCTCTTTTTACAATGACATTTCTCATTTCCTAAATTATGTATTCGTATAACTAAAAAAAACAGAATTTCTCTTCAAGTGAAGTAACACAACAAATCCTCGCATATACAAAGTATACACTATCATCTTTTCTGCGAAATTGAATTCTACAACCGAGTCTGGCATCCGGTCTAGCCGTATGCCTGGTTTCGGATACTAATTGCTGGATCGTATCTGGTTACAATTTTTTACCCGGCAGTTATGTACATTCCAATAGTCAATATTGGTCCTAATTATTTCAAGCTGTTATTTATTTATAGATATCGAAATGAAAAATATTAGT